GGGGAGGTGACACGAAAGTAGACGACAGAATAGAACATAGAGAGCAGGAAGGGAGGTGAAAGGAGAACATTTTGGAGGAGAAAATTTTCCGTCGCTGTCAGGTTTCGAACCCGGGACCTATTGAATGAAAGGCGAATACATTTACTGTAACCTCAAGCTAGACCACGAGAGCCTCCTTAACTGAGTTTTTCAGGAGCTGGGCACTGACATGTCGAAGGATTTATGTTGAAGACTTGAAGTCATCCTGAGACATTTCCAGGGTATTTTAGTTTTAGTAGCGCTTTTTATTTTATTTATTTATTGTATTTAGATCTAATCTAGAGCTAGATTTTTTAAAGGTGCTCCAGCTTTACGCTTCCCCGAGGACAGTTCAGAACAGAATGCTGTCTAAGCCACTGAGCCTAACAAAATCAGGCATTCTTACGACTTGGCAAGTTCAGCAGATTTAAGTCCTTTGAGGTTTAAAAAATAATGTGTTTGGTTTGTAAATTCAATATAATAATACCAGCTCTGCCCCCTTGCCTTCAGCATGGCAACTGCAAAGATTATGGGTTTCGTGACAGAGTGAGTATGCAGGAGTGCTATGTGAATACATAATATTTATGTGTTTGTTCCGTAGATATTCCTTCTGAGCCTCTGAGACCTGTGAGACTTTTGAATGTTCGGTATGCCAAGTTGTAGGCTACGTGCCAATTTGTTAAATGTTGAAAGCTGGATACAAGCATTTTTTTTTGGGATTTACAAGAAACAGACTGTAAAACACTTCCTCACACAGTCTCTATACCTTTTTAAAATTAGATCTAGCAAATTTTGCCCCCGTTCACCTTTCAACTCCTCTAAAAACGTCAGTAAAATGTCTTCTCTAGTTTATATTCGACCTTAATCACAACCAGAAGTAAATTTCGACCTTGCAAACTTAGCTAGATCTCTAGACAGTAGACAGTAGACAGTAGAAGTCGGACGGAAGTGACTTTCTGAGGCTGAGGGACGGTTAGATTTTTTACCGCCGTGAGTTACAGCAATTTGAACTTTCTTATCAACAGTTAGGCTAGATCTAAAATTTGTCTGACAGCCAAACAGATTTTTCTCTAGAATGGGTGATTCAGCACGAACGTCTAGCGATGGAAAACCTTGCTCTCTTAAAGTATCCGCCCCATGCCCACCGTCTTCAGCCCCACTCCGTCCAGCAGCAGCAGCACCACCAGCAGCAGCAGCAGCTCCACCTCGGAGGTTTGTTCAAGTTTGCCTCTATTCTTTTTCGTGTTGATCCTAGATCTAGAATCTAGAAGATCTAAATCTACTCTTAGGCCTAAGCCTAAAGGATTTGTTCCACGCTCCAGTGAGAGGGGATGAATTGTCGGTAGTCATACGAAATAAAAGAGAAACGTGTCGTGTCAAAAACAACAGAAGCAGTGGCGTCGCGTGGGTTGCAGACAAGGTGGTGCATAATTGGAAAGTGAGCAAATGGGCGATAGGCATAGATTAGTAGCTGCTATTAAGATTTCTTATTCTAGAGAAAGTCAATTAGAATCTGCAGGATATCCCGTAATCTACACCTATCGATAGATCTATTTACAGCTGTTTCTTGATTAAACTGCATAAGATAAAAGCTGCAATAAAGTGAAACAATACTAACAACTCACTATGCTCACAATCTGAGAAAATTTAAAGATTTCTAATCTAATTAGATCTAGATCTAGGCCCACTTCGTGCAGCTACAACAACCAGACTCAATTTGAAGATTTACCTTAACAGGACTTGCTAGATCTACACAATAGAGGAAGACAACAGTTTCGATACCCATTCAGATTCTTCAATGAGTGCTCGTAGACTCTACTAGATTCTAGATCTAGAATCTAGTGTAGGCTAGTAGATAGGCTAGCGGAAACTTGGATCAAATTTTTAGCTGGCACCAAATTGGTTCTGCGAAGAGCAGTTTCATGCACCTTTCTTCTTGTGCGGAAAGAACATAGATCTAGATCTAGATTTCTCTACAGTGACAAAAATAACTTTGCGGCTAAGATTTTACTTGCTCCAAGCAGACACTAGCGGTGCGACTAGTAGATCTATAAACCACCCTCACTGTTTGTCTCTTCACTGGCGCAGCCAGCGGGTGGCGGATCGCAAGGTTGCAGTAGGCTAGGCTTAATAATTATATGTAGATCTAGATCTAGAGCACTGACTGGTTTAGAACAATAGGGGAAAAAAGTGTGGGGTGGGGGGGTTGAAGGCCAGGGTTAGGTGGACAGGTGGAGCGCTTGCTCCAATTTCACTTATGGCGCTCCGCCACTGAACAGAAGTCTAGTGTAGCTTAGCATCATCTATAGATCTAGATCTATCTAGATTTTAGATCTCAATGATCTAGATCTAGATCAGACCAGCTCTGGTTTTGTTACTGATTTCCAGAGACCCGGCCACACATGCGTGCCATCTTGTTCCGCGGGTGTGTTGGTACAGGTAATTGCATTCATTCATCAATCTTTCTGCTTAATAATGCAATTGATAAGCACTTTTTTCTTCTACTTTTAGATCTAGATCTAGATCTAGATCTAGATAAGCTTTTGCCTATTTTGTTATAAATTGCGCTGTTTCTTGGGCATGCGTACAAAAGGATGCGTGATGGGCTGGGCTATCTTAGTATGTTTGACACTAACATTAAGATTTGCGGTCTACTTTTGTTTCCCTCACCAAAATCACAGAGTTCACTTGTCTTCTTACAACCCCACTCTTCTACAAACTTACAGATGACTATGATTTTTACATTTCTGTTGCTTGTGACTTGTTAATATTAAGCCTGGTCTAGAAGTGCGGATTTCTTCGTTTATGTGATCTGTGAGACTGTCGCGACTTTTTTCACAGCGACAACGGCCCTGCCCCAGACAAGGCTGCACAGGCCCCACAGGCTTCAAAGTCTTCACAGTCCCCGCCTTGTAAGGAAATCTGGTCTCCTGGCTTTGATGCAAGGTTTCCAAACATGAACATGACCAGGTAGCTTATGTGATGCAATACTTTCATTGTGGGTCTGGCGTGGGGGCTTCAGAGTACGGTATTCAAATTGAGATGGTTTGACTTGCATTCCATTCTGCCTTGATGCCACTTAGTTAGAATTGGATCAAAGCAATTTCCATTGCATGACACGTGGGGGCCATTGTCTAGGGCCTAGTCCATGGGTGAAAACAAATCACTGCCCTTTTCTATTTACTACAGTTACTCTAGATTTCATCTTTAAATTTTTTGCAGTGGACTAGTGCTTGCCAGTTTGAGGTACATAGGCTATCAACTGGTTTGTTATTGGAGGATTGTTGTTCACGAGTAATATGTTTTGGTTTGGATATAGCAGTGTCACTGTCCGTTCTTTATTTTACAAGATTTATATATATTTATATTGGGGATAGGGGCAGGAAGACTTAGTCTTGAAATGATTCAGTTACTTGCACTTGCAGTGATGTCATGGCACAAATTTTTGTTCAATGATTTGTTTCCAGTAAGCGCAGTGGTGTTCTGCATTGACCAATCCATCACAGCAAGTAACTGGTCCTCCTGCTCCAAAGATGTGTTTCTTATTGTTAGTGCATTGGTGCATTTTGTCTTTTTACTATTCCAGGAAAGTGATTCAAACTGCGTTATTACTTTCTTTAATCAACACTTTATTAGTTTTACGATACCTTGCTATAGATTAGCTTCAGGTGTACGAAACAAACAACTTTGATCTCTGACTTCTTGTTGGCTTTTCTGTTTTTCTGGGTTGTTTCCACAATTTTAGCTTGACTCTATATAACAAACAGTGGAGTACGCTTCTTATACCGAACACGATTAATCGGAAAATAGTGGTAAACCGAAAGAAGATAAACCCCCAATTTTTTTGCCCCCAGATTTTTCTTTTTTGTTTTTTGTTTCTTTTGTTTGTTTTTTGTTTGGTTGGTGTTTTACGGCGTTCACTACTGCATAACATCATAATGAGCGCGCGGGACACATTAAACAATTTCAATAGGTAGGAAATTTTGAATCTTTGCCTGGGTGGCGGCCGAAGCCTACTCTTATCGAATTTAGACCACCAAAGGATCTTTAACGTGCGCAACTTGCACACGAGACTCCGACATTGTTCGCTCTTGTCCGAGAAGGCTAGGTGTAGATCTTTCCTAATGGAAGATCGGGAGTGTGGCTGAAACTGAAAGACAGTAGTAAGAAGTAGCCAAGGAGTAGGAGTAGAAAGGCTGCAGAAAGAGCCAGGAGCCCAAAGGAGGTGAGAGGGTGGGGCAGAAAAGCAACCTCTCTAAATGGTGCCAGTGATTTCAGTTTTTTAAACAAACTACACATAATAATCATAGAGGCGGAAACGTAGAAAGGCTCGTCCATGTCTGCTGTGTGTTGTGTCGTGATCACAGGAGATGTTGGCAAAACTATGTGGACTACTACCGCTGTCAAGAGAAACTAGGAGAAGATTACGAGCCATGTGAATATTTCAAGAAGACCTTCACCTATTTGTGCCCGGAGTTTTGGGTAAGTTGACGAGCTTAGGGAGGTGGTAAGTCAACGGTTAGAGCTGTATGTTTAAAACGTCGCAGTGTGCTTTCTGGATACAGTAAAGCTTGCGTTGGGTCCGACGTTCAATTTTATAGAAGCATGGTAAGAAATGTGCAACTAATGTGAGCTCCCCCCCCCTTTTTTTGGGAGGGGGGGGGTGATTATGATTGTAGGGACATCTGTTCTAAATGTGTCATGGTGCGATTATATTTGTAAGGGGAAAGGTCCAATGATGTCTCAAATTGCTTATTCATATGAATTGATAGTTAAGTTGGGCAAGTGGTAGGTTCACTTATTGCTTTGGTTTTGTTTGTGTGAACCACACCAGAACATTATCAGGTACTGTAAAGCCTCGTTGACACCCCCCCCCAAATGACTTTATGCAGTTGCGAGCGCCCTAAAATCTCTACTAAAAAAACTAAAACTAAATTATACTGCCAGCCCCGCTTAGCACCAGGTTTTGCCAATGCACGAAAAGGAAGGCCTAATAAGCATTGAATTGCATCTTTACAACGCCAACTGTCTGAGTTGTACGGTCCTTAAAATACTAATATAAATTTGCCCCGTTATACCACCATCGAACTGATAATCTCTTTCACTTTCCCACACATGTGCCTGTGAGCTCAGTCTATTTTTTAGCGCCTGTCGGTGATTTGCTTCTGATTTACACTGATCATGAAAATGCTATTACTCTCAGACTTGCCAATCTTTATAAAAGATTGGAATGGGATTTTATAGTCGCTTGGAGAAACCTCGGCCTAGAGGCAAAATATCCGGAGTCGCCGCAGCACGACGATCAAAAGGGTGGCAGCGGGATGAGATGACCGGTGACAGGCGCCCGTGAGGCTTTAATAATTATTGTGAGGACTCACGCTCAAGTCTAAATGTGACAGGTCTACGGCGACCCAAGAACGGACGAATATTTGGAGAAAAAAAAAACCTGTACTCCTGCGTGGCCCTTGACACGCGTAGTCTGGCTTGTTTTAGTTTGGATTTACGTTAAGTATAGCGGGAGCTGTACATGTACCTGTAAATGCAATTAGTTGATACACGTTTGTTTTTTTCCTGCACACCACAGTCGCGCCAGACATATCTAGAGAAGAGGCAAGACTGGCTATAGTTTGTTTCTAGTTTTAGTTTTAGTAAAGAGTTTTGTTTCTAGTCTCTACCAGTCTACACAACTTGGTCACTAAAGTCAAAATGGCAATCGGTGCTATCCCGTGATACCGCCAGCCCCACTGTAACATTAACTTCATACTCGTCCTGGGGTATGCGGGACAACGGGTTTTTATTGTACAGTGTACATATTACTTGTACCCGTTTTCATATAATGCGTTGTGTGTCTCTTTTGTCTTCAGGTATGGGAAAAGCTGTGCAGGTCCCATAAAGACAACACACTGTTCTCTGATGAGGGACGGTCGCTGTTGCTCTCTATTTGACAGCCTGTAGACTGTATCTACTGTTCTGTTCCTCCCTCTATACAACATCAAACGCATTGTCCCCCTGTCCTCCCCAGATTGAGCAGTGGGATGACCAGCGAGAGGCTGGTTGCTTCCCCATGCCAGCATACAAGAAGTGTGGGTGCTAACAAATCTTCCACTTCTACAGGTCACAAAATGTTGACCTCACCAGGCTCTGCTAGAGGATTGTTCTCTTTTCTTTTTTTTTAGTTTTAGCTGAATGAATTTTTCAATAAACTTTGAATTTGAAGTTGAACTTCGATAAACTCAATTGTGTTGTTGAATCATGTTCACTTATCTTTCATCGACTATGGAGAAGCTGTACTCGTCTCTTTTGTGTTCTCGTAGTAGTTGTACATGTATCATGTTTGTGAGTGTTTCACATTTGATGGCTGCTTCTACTCCTGTTCATGTTTTGTGAGTGTGTGTTAGTGCAATGCTTTTTTCAACTTTTCCCTGACAGCTCGGGTTTCATTCAGAAGTTTTGCAACATAATTGGGTGGGGATGGCAGTAGAAAATTGTGTTCATGTGTTGCTAGTGCAAATGACATCACCACCCATCCCCAATCTACGCGATGCGCACGTGAGTGAAACAAGCACTTGGCAATTTGCTGATAAGACAAACATCTATGAAGCTGACATGATGCAACTTCTGGTACTGAAGTTTACTTGTACAATGAGAATGAATGAACCGAACCTTGTTAATATCTGAACTTGAACTTGAAGGGGACCAAAAAGTTGGTTCTAAGAAGTTAATTATCATAAGTGGGCACCTCACTGAGAAACGCCCGTTTCAATTAAAGTGATCTGGTTATAACATCACAAATGTTGATGCCTTGACTAGATATCCCTCTTTTCCTTCTTTAAAAAAAGATAAAAAGAATAACTTATGTGTCTTTTTACGCCCCTACTGACACTCTTTAGATAATTTAGGAGGTGGGCTTCCAACCAACCTTACCTGTCACAGCCAACCTGCTCTGAGATGGATACAATCCAAGCAGGAAGACACAGATACCGGTACTCGGTAAAAATTTCCTCCCCAGTCGTGAATCGAATTGTGACTTCGACACTTCGAGGGACAGGTAAGCGTCTAACTACTACACCACAGATGCCGGCTCACATTCTCTGATACATGGGGGTGTTTAGCTCACTCACACTAATAGACTATGGGCTACCGGACCCCCCCCCTGAGGATTTTTGCTCACTATGATTTTCTGAAAGAGCACACTCAGGACTACATGTACTTACAAAAAAAAGTTTGCAGCAAAATGTTGGCAATCTGCTGAGTCATTGCATTGCCCCTGAATTGTCGAAAATAGTGAAAATTAACTTTTTTTTTAAAATTCACCTTTTGGGTAGGTAATCTGACTTTCTTTTAATTAAGACTTAAGTTGGTGCTCAAGGTTAAAGAAAAACAGTTATACTGACCATTGTGTGGTAGTTATTTACATACCGTATAGAGAAACAAATAATATTCAAAGTCTGTATTCTCAAAAAAATTGAAACAGTCGCACAAAGTTAGATCCAGCATAATTTATTCCCTGCTGAGTGTTACACAACAAAGGAAGAGCTGCACATGCACAAATTAAGTTCAACAGAAAACCAGTACTATGCCGAGTTACAGACAGCCCTTAGCAATGCAGATATTGAATATACATGTATATGTATTATTGAATGAACTTGTACACAGAAATAATTGAGAAAAAGATCATAGCATCTAGAAATTGACTTGCATAGGGCATATGATATGTAACAGAAGTGAGTTGCTTGGGTGCTAGTTATCCAAATTTTGTACTGTAAGTCAGTTGGTGTTGCACGTAAAATCTTACTTAGATGCTTTCTATGTCATGAGTTCATCTTCACTGCTGTCACTTCCAGAATCTGAAATCTCATCTTCTTCATCACTGGTATCATAATAGAGGAGACAGTTTTCCGGTTTGTCTTCCTCTTGCTCTGTATCTGATACTGACAAAATATCAACCATTTGTTGAGGGACCAAGTCTTTGCACCACTCCACTGATAGCACTCCACCGTCACCTCTCTTCCAACCATGATCTTGCAGATAAGGTATTAATGGTTGAGCCATATGTGCTTGCTTCCATATTAAAGTTTGATAGTTAGCAAGTTGGATGTGTAGCTTCAGGTTTCTCTGCATGGTGGTACATGTAGCAAGCTGATGTCAAATCCGTCGAAGCATGACAGTAAGCTTTGACCTTTTGCCAAGTACTTTAGCCTTACAAGGTCATGACGAAGCTTGTCTGTGCTAGAGTAAGCTGGTTTTCCGTACAGGTGACAGACAAATTTTTCCAGATTGGAAAACTGTTCTGAAGAAACAGTTTCAGGTGTTCCTAGCTCCTTGAATGAAACAGCAAACTCTGGGTGCTTGTGGAGAATGGTGAGCGGCTTCACCTTTCATTTCTGGACAAAAGCGCTAGTCACATCACATCCAGAGAATGCATGAAGTCCAAGAATAGAATCCAGTATATGTGTTTCCATTTTGTCACAGAGCGTCTGAACGTGTAGACATCTTATTTTGTTCCCAACCCTTGTGTCAAAATACAAACGGTTTGAGAAATGTAGAACAAATGCAGTCATCAGTAGAAAGACATCAGTGTCTGGGGACCGAATAATGATGTCTGTGTTTGGAGTCGCAATGTTCTGATCAGAGTAGATGGCATACACGATCAGTACTGTGTCTGCTGCCTCGTGGCTGGATAATTACTCTGGAACAGGTCTGGAGTCTGAAGTCTTTCCATCACTGCTACTAAGGACAAAGCACTGTTGGTCCCATGCAAAGTATATTTCTCTGTTCAGCAACATCACTGCATAACAATCTTGTTGCCGTTCATAAAGTAAGAACTGTGTCAGTTGCTTTTTGTTTTTATTATTCATAAGAAACACTTTGAAATCTTTGGGAACCTTTGTAGAAAAGCCTCGGATTGTGCTCCCCTGCGAATTCGTTCCTACGATTTAATTGATTCTTCTTTTTACATGTAGTTGTCTGTCACAAAGTGGACTTTGTTAACCTTGGGTAGAGCACAAAATATTGAACTGGCTAACTCCCCAAAAGTATCTGGTAAATCAGAGGGATGCAGAGTATGATAAAAAGCATTGCCATCTATAATATGGATGTGTCCATGGTCTTGAGATGGGCTTTGAGGAGAGAGCTGACTTATCTTCCAGTTTATGCATAAGAACTGCTTTGTTTGTTTTGATAGGAAATCCATCCAGGGTGGCGAGGGCCCAAGGCACTGGTCCTAGAGGGCAATCCATCACATTGTAGCATATGTCCTGACCTGTAGAAACAACTCTCCAGTGGCATCTTGTTGACTGTCGTTTTCCATTCTTGGAGTAAAGAAAGGAAAGAAATGTTGTTAATAGCTGTGGTATTTGCAAAGTTTCTGTGCGCAGATCTGTGTCTGCCGGAGGCCAAGGTAACTTTTGACTTTCTTTGCATCCACCAAGAACTGCTCGTCGTATCGCCATTGCCGCTTCTATGACAAGTCTCTCTTCAGAGGTTGCATTTTCAAAGGCAACTCCAACAGCCTGTCCAGTTGGAATTTCGTCTGAGTACACGAGATCACTTGTCCCAGAAAATCTCTGCCAGAAGTTGATCCTGGACTTGAAGTGCTTCACAAGTTTGTCCTTCAACGTATATGTCTTATAGTTCTTGTTGTAAAACTCTGGATAATTTGTTTGCATGAAAGTGCAATACATCTCTTTCAAAAGAGTAATCCTAACAACAAGGGCTAGTGCAGTGACATGTTCTTCCACAAATTGACAGACGTGCTGAAAAGCCTTGGAGTGGGCTTCTTCCTCTGTAGCTTGAGCTTTCTTTCTTTCTTCAGCTTCTGCCTTTTCTTCTTCAGAACAGTAGTTAGATGCAGAAATTTGTGAACGTCGATCCTCCTTACGTGTGTAAGCTTTATTACATGGTTCATGATACCATGCCTTTTGGGCAAAGAGATCAACATTTTCAATTTGGCCCCGAAGTTTTGAGTCAGTTTTCTTGTTAACAGCTTCTTTTATAGAGGCCTCAGCTGTTCTAGTAACATATTTGACAAGTTTATGAACTTTCTAGGTTCTCTTGCTGTCACATGTCCATTTGGTGGTCTTTTCACAGAAAAGGCATTACATGGGCAAGAGGCGTGTTGAAAACGATTGCTTTACCTTTTTCCTAGTGGAGCAAGACCTTTGTGTGCAGATTTGTCAGACTCTCCTGATGAATGCCTTTTTCTTAGACTCCTCAAATTAATAAATGTATTGTAGCAGTAATCATGACTCCCATGTTGAGCAGAGTCAAACTCAGTCGGTATTCTTTCACAAATCAGTTTCTGCAAGACACCTTTGTGTTTTTGACTTTTGAATGGTGTCCCACTTATCCCAGTGTCTCTCACTGATGGGGTTTTATTTCATCGCGGCCTTTGAAGTTACAGTTATGCACTACACAAGTCCTTTCTTTATTAAGCTGTACCTTTTTTTAGATTTTGACCTCTTTTTCTTTAATGTCAGGGGTACTGATTTCGGTTCTGCCATGCTTGATTTTGAACGTTCAATTCATTCTCTGAAACATATATATAGAAAATTGTACGTTGCTAGAGAAACCAGACTTCAAATTTTTTACCTCTGTCTTCTTTTAAATTAGTTCTAACAAAATATTTTTCAAGACACCTTTTTCATGCCCATATGACTGGTCTAGACTATATCTGAGACGTGACGCCTATTTGCCCACGTTTTTAAAATGACAAACGTAGTTTTGCTTTTTTCTAATATAGCAATAGCAAGGGTTATAACTCCTTGACTCATAGATTTCTAGTTATTTTGCATAAAATACTTCTCATTTTGTGCCTCAAAGTGTGTGCCTATCAGAAAACTATTGTACTGGATTATAGAAGATTTGAAGCAATGGAATTAATCATTTCTATAGATTTTGATAAATCAGCCTTTGAATTGTCCTTTTTCCTCTTTGCACCTTGTAATTTATTAGCAAAAACATTTTTTTTACAACACTTACATCATCGTATAACATTGAATTTTACGTCATGTGAAAGAACTCTTCACAGAAAATCACAACTTAAAAATCACACATTTCCTTGATTTCTGGACAATCAAGGGCCGTAACTCGGTAGATTGCCAACATTTTGGTGCAAACTTTTTTAGGGGAAGTCCCTAGGTCCTACCCTTTCAGAAAATTATAGGGGCGAAAAATCTCCACCGGGGAGGTTCACTCCCAGTAGCCCATAGCCTATAAGTTACCCGCATGCCT